TTTGGGAGTCGTTTTTCCAACCCCCTTTTTATGTATGGGAAACAACTTTAAAATTTAAAAAAATAATTAAAAAATAAGGTGTTAAAAATTAATTTAAAAAACGTGTCTAAACGCGGAATTCGCGTGTGCTGTGCAGCGCTGCGCTGCTGCAAAAACGAAAACCACGTTTTTTTAGTAATGCCCATTATAAAATATGCAGCCCTTTCACCCACCCTATGTTAGGGAAGTGGGGTGGTACCTGCGGTACCCGCGGTACCTCCTGTTTTTTCCTCCAGAAACAGACACCTGGCACCTCCTGGCAGGTGCGTGGCGGGTGCAGGCGGTACCCCCCAAGCAGTTCCAAGTACCTAGCAAAGGGTACCACGGAATAATACCTGATTGAGGGTTGCTTTTTTTACTATCAGTATGAGATACTTGTTAGTCAGGATGTGTCAGCCTTAGAGCCAGCCAAGCTGGCCAAAAGACTGCCAAAACTGCCCATTTCTATTCCAAATATCATCTTATCTTTTTTTTCTTAAGAATTTTAACCTTTTTGACTTCAGAAATGGATTCCTGGTGTAAAATTAACCCTAGTCACCACTGGTCACTTTTACTCAACTCCATTCCTTCATTGACTTTGTAATAATTCACGGTACTTCAAGAATTACTCCAGCCTTTAGGTTTTAGCTCCCTCTACCACATGTACATGCCAGATTAAGTAATCCAACTTTGAAAATCCTCTCTAAGCTTGTTGATTCCGCTTCCAGAGGATTTTCAGACTCCAGACCAACTCAGAACCACAACAAACAGAACCAGATCAAGCCATCACTTATCAACCAGAAGTACTCCACTTTTCCCACCTTTCCCACTACACAGTGTCATTGTTGTCATTGGTAAGTAACTTCTTATAAGTTTTAGCTAGCATCTTTCTGCTTGTTCTCTTTCTCAGTCTCTGATCTCAACTTCTCTTCTTTCTTCCTCAAACCATAATCCCTGATCCCAATAAAGCAAGCCATAGCAGCTATTATCACAATTCCTCTTGTTTGGTAGTACAACTGAAAACTACATAGGTTTCCCTTTAAAGAACCTTGATCATCTTTGATCTAAAAAATTGTGGTTGACCTGATTCATCAGTGTCAATAACCCATTCCAGTTTCTGTTGATTTGGAGGTGTTGTGGTGTGCTGTGCCTGTTCCAATGCCAAAAGCATACAGCAGAGGTGTTGGGATAGCATAGGTACATACATGTGACAATCATTACAAGAGAAGGAACAATCATTATGGATGAGGTGTGGTATATACGGACAGGATTACATACAATGCGTGGATTGGGAGAACATATCTTGACCAGGAATGGAACAAAGGAGTGGTGTGGGAGAACATGTCTCGACCATGAATGGAACGGAGGAGCGGTGTGTAATAAGGGTACTTTATGTTTTACGTAAGGGTACAGGGTACGGATTGTGGAAAGTGAAGGGAGGAAAAATATTGAGGCGGAGGGAGGAAGGAAGGAGTGAGGAGAGACTTTGACCCCCAAACTCTGGATGGAAGGAGATAACAGCAGGTCTGGCAGGCTGGTACTGCCTATGCAGAGTGTTCTGGAAGATGGCTTGGTTACCTGGCAACGCATGACATCATTCTGCGCTTGGTTCTGGAAGATGGCTTGGTTACCTGGCAATGCATGACATCATGCTGCGCTTGTGTGCTCCTTTGCATGCATATTATGTGACAAGGTCTGGAGTTAAGTGTTCCTAGCACAGCATAAGCTGCGCTATTTGTTTGGAGGCTGTGTGCAAAGGCTGTGAAGGTGAGATCCCCTGCAGCAATTTTCCCTCACAAGGAGTCCCCTGCAGCAGAAATCCCTCACTCGTCAATATAAAAGAAGGGCCTCTCCCCACCAGAAAGTCTCTTCTCCCCATCAGCCTACAGAAGTCTCGCAGAGCAGTAAGTTGATCCTGAGCTACTGGAAGTGTTCTTGAGTGTCAGTAAAGTGAAGAGTTAGAATAGTGATAGTTAGTTAGTTAGTGAAGTTAGTACATCAGTCTACTGCGGTAAGTTTGATCACCCAAGTTGAAGAATAAGTTAGTAAGTGAGTTAGTTAGTGATAAGTAGAGAGTTAGTACAGTATTGTAAGCGTGAAACCACCAAAGAGTTTGTAATTTGAAGCATATTAGTAGTAGTAGTCATCATATAAGTAGTAGTACATCAACAATTAACCCATAACAAGTAGTAGTAGTGTCAGCCTTAGAGCCAGCCAAGCTGGCCAAAAGACTGCCCGAACTGCCCATTTCTATTCCAAACATTATCTTATCTTTTTTACCTTAAGACTTTTTACTTTTCTGACTTCAGAAATGGATTCCTGGTGTAAAATTAACCCTAGTCACCACTGACCACTTTTACCCAACTCCATTCCTTCATTGACTTTGTAATAATTCACAGTACTCCAAGAATTATTCCAACCTTTAGGTTTCAGCTCCCTCTACCACATGTACAGGCCAGATTACATAATCCAACTTTGAAAATCCTCTCTGAGCTTGTTGATTCCGCTTCCAGAGGATTTTCAGACTCCAGACCACCCAGAAACCACAACAACCAGTACCAGATCCAGCTTACACTTATCAACCAGAAGGACCTTACTTTTCCTGCCTTTCCCACTACTCAGTGTCATTGGTGTCATCAGTAAGTTACTTCTTTAAGTCCAGCTAGCATCTTTCTGCTTGTTTTCTTTCTCTGTCACTCTCACCTTTTTCTCTTCTTCCTCTAAACCAAAAGCCCTGATCAACCAAAGCTCCATAAGCTCCAAAGATTCTCTTCTTTTCTTGTTTGGTAGTAAAACTGAAAACTACATAGGTTTCCCTTTAAAGAACCTTGATCATCCCTGATCTAAAAAATTGTGGTTGACCTGATTTATCAGAGTCAAGTACCCATTTCAGTTTCTTTTGATTTGGAGGCGTAGAGTTAGCTCTGCTTATGACAGCTACCCTCAGAGGAAGTAAGACTGTCAGAATCTAAATAATCTTCACAAAATAAACAAACTACAAAAAGATTACTCATTTCTATTCTTCCCTTTCTTTCCTTCTCTCTTGATTTTATTGTATTCCTTTCCTCCTAAGAAATACATATAAAATTGCCCCCCAACACCTTGTGTCCTGCTGTCACTATTGAGACCCAGGCTCACAAGTAGTATTAGTACCGGAGCTCTAGTTTTTGATTAAAGTGCCTTAGCAAGAAATTGTTCAAGGAAGAGATCATTAACAAACTCTATAACAACTCATCTGTTTTGTGCTCAAGTCATCAGCACCACAGTTTCCATTATTAACCTGAAGTTGTAACAGATTCATTAGTAGATTGATACATGATCTAGGTCTGATAGAGATTACTTTACAAAAGCAAGATCTATCTTGGAATCAGCCATACATTATTAAATATTTATTACAAGACTCTTAGTTATTTGTTTAGTACATTTAGAGGGGTAGGTCTTTCAAACCACCCGTAAGTTGTAATAGCCTTTCAACCTATTTGCAATTTATTTCCCCCTCAAGGGATCCTTTGATATACATATACTTTACCGTGTCTATCCGTCCCAAGAGTCCTACAGCATAGAGCTAGCTCCGCTTATAACCAGCCATCCTTAAAGGAAAGTAAGACTGGTAAACTTAAATCATCTTAAAAAAAGAAATAAAGAACAAAAATATTCTCTCTTTCTTTCACTCTTCTTCTTCCCTTCCTTCTACTTTTATTTGTATCCCTATTCTCCTAAGAAATACATATAAAAGTGCCCCCCAAACTGATGAAATTTTAACCGGAGAGGCGGAGAAATTTCTTTGATGAGAAAAAATATTTGGGCAACAAAAAAGTGACTTTTTGTTGGAAAGACTCAAGTGTCGGAAAAAGAGGGTAAGAGCCGATGATTTTCATTTGCTAGTAGAGCCTAGGCGTTAAATAGACTACATACAACAAGTTCAGTCTGTGGTTGAGAGAAATGAATATCAAAATGAATAAAGCAGATTAACATATGCTTGAAAAGATGACTGGAATAAATGTAGTTGATAAAGACTAGACCAGGGTTCGAAGACTACAAGGATTTCAGCACTAGACAACATAACAAGATATCACGCAGAAACTATCAAAAAACAAAGTAAAAATCATGTAAATTATTTATCAAATCATATTGAATTTAACAGTGGAATAGATGAGTTTTTTAGGGATGAGAAGAAAAAGAGATGAAATTCCAACACCCCCCGCTACTCAGACCTAAAAAACCTTAGAGTGAAAAAATAATTGTTTGAAGGAGATGAGAGATAAAAAGAGTGAGGAGGAAGTGTAGACTATGTATTGAAGTATTGAACACCTTCAAACCTCATTTCGTCGACATGATGGAGCTTGCCGTTGGCTGTTCTGAAGAGGGAGAAGTCTGTTGGATCGTTGAGTTGATTGAAGTTGTCTTGAACGGTTAGGTGTGCTGAGTGTGACTTTGGAGCCTTTTCAGGGTATTTGACCCAGCAGTTATTGATGCGATGACCCGGCTTCTTGCAGTGATCGCAGAGTGGTGAGTTCGACGAAGATTGATCGCTTGATCGAGTAAGAAGTGACTGTAGCGGAGTCGTTGATGCAACAGGCTTTTTATCGAGATCGTTTTGAGCTACATAGCTCTCGAGTTTCTTGATGACCGATTCAAAGGATTATGAGCCATAGTTCATCGAAACGATATCGCGAAACGAGCGATAATCCAACGGTAACTTTTTCAACATTAAAATTGTTCGGACACGATCGTCCAAAACCAATCCTGACATTGTTATTTTTTGATTAGCCGATCGGACAGCGGGAATGAAAAGAGAGATTGATGAGAAGTCAAGATGTAAAAACTGATCCAGCGCGGTTGTTTGCGATGTGAGATCATCGCCAGCATATTGAGCCTTCAGGAGTTTCCAAAGTCCCTGACCGTTGAAGCGAGGTGTTGAGGGAAGGGCCGAGCTGACAAAACCAAGGACTTCTTGACCGATGTATCCTATGATTTCGGAATAGGCGGTGTTGTTCAACTTGTTCCAGGCTGCCTTGTCATCTTCAGTTTTAGTTACGATATTGTCTTTGACAACGTCCAACAAATTCAATTTGAAAAGTCGCGCCTCCATCGGAAGTAACCATAGAGCGTAGTTATTTGGAGTGAGGAGAACCTTGTTTTCTCTGACAACTTCGGTAGACATTTTGAGTGAGAATAGAGTTTGTTATTAATAAGTCGAGGAGGTGTGTTTCGACTGTTAATCGTGATGAAATTTTAACCGGAGAGGCGGAGAAATTTCTTTGATGAGAAAAAATATTTGGGCAACAAAAAAGTGACTTTTTGTTGGAAAGACTCAAGTGTCGGAAAAAGAGGGTAAGAGCCGATGATTTTCATTTGCTAGTAGAGCCTAGGCGTTAAATAGACTACGTACAACAAGTTCAGTCTGTGGTTGAGAGAAATGAATATCAAAATGAATAAAGCAGATTAACATATGCTTGAAAAGATGACTGGAATAAATGTAGTTGATAAAGACTAGACCAGGGTTCGAAGACTACAAGGATTTCAGCACTAGACAACATAACAAGATATCACGCAGAAACTATCAAAAAACAAAGTAAAAGATCATGTAAATTATTTATCAAATCA